CTGCAGGAGTTGCAAAGAAAGTAAGTTAAATCAATGCAGCCTCATCGTTTGCGAGGACAGCAGACTGATCATTGACGCGGCGCATCCGCCGGGCACCGCGAAGGCAGCCAACACTGGCACGCAGGAGACCAAAACCAAGACGACAACGCAGCAACGCCATCACCATTGCCAAGAGTACATGAAACTTCATGTACTCTTGCCATTGCGTGTGGTTCTCCGGTTTTCTCTGCAGACAGAGCAGCAATTCGCTTGAGAAGAGAGGAAGCAGCTCGACCGACGCCACCTGTGGCTGAGAATACGACTGGAAGGAGGCTCGCTCAACTTCTTACACCCTCTGACCATACCTGCGACGCTTCTCGCGCTCATGGCTCAGGTAGCGAGCAACCAGAGAAGAGGAACGGTTCGAAGGAGCGAATGGGTTAAACACCCGTACATCAAGATAAACGCGTTCAAACCGTCCTCCCCACACGCCACTCGCCGCCACATCCAGACAGGCCTGATCCTCGGTGGACGCCGTCCAGTAGCGGAAAAGCTCGCCGGTGAGGGGTTGGAGATGAGGCTCTACTTCTACGCTGTGTGCCACCTTCTTCAGTTGGCCAGCGATGATGTCCCGTACCTCATTTATTTTTTTATTTTTTTTACTACATTCACATTCCCACCTCATTGTGGCGGAGCGTCGGGAAACCGACGGTGGGGCAAGAGAGAGAGCATGCTCAACAGAGAAGGTGGCACCACAGACACAAGTAGAAGGGAGCCGTGCCGAGTGCCAGCCATACCGCAATGCCAGACCATCGCGAAATTCACACTTCGACAAGCTGAACCCATGCCGACTGAGAGGACGACACGTGAGCCAGCTGGACGCACCGCCTCACTGCCAAGGTTGATGGAGTGCTGGAGCCAGTGGAGGGCAGAGGAAGCTCGGGCTGTGAATTGCCGAAGGGCTTCCGTGGCAGCTGCCTTCACATCCTTGCGATTAGAGGCCATCAGGCTGGCGACCTCTGCCAAAGAGTCTCCCAGGTTGAAACTCTGGGTGCCAGGAGGATGTTGGCAACCATAGGAGCAGTGAGCAGTGATGGCACGCGAGGATTGGTACTGGGCCGACAGAGAGGTGGGATCCAATAGGCAATATCCCTAGACCACCATTCCGGCAGGGGAAGGAGAAAAGGGTGCGGAGTTCAGAGCTGATTTCTTGGCCTGTGAGAGCTGGGAGGAGCTTCGTGGCAATGACCCGCTCCAGTGAAGCAAGGCCAGCAGACGCACTTTCGAGTACCCGGCAGAGGAAAGACCAGCGGCTGGAGAGGCCTCAGGTGAAAGCAGAATAGGCTGCTTATGGCTGAGGCAGGGCGGTTGATGTCAGTGATTCGACCTGCCCACACCAGTCCTGGGCTTTCCCGTGTACGTATTCTTCAACAAACGCAGGTGGGCCTATGGCTGAACCCAGGTGGCGGTTGCCCGTGGCGGTGATGTGGATGCCTGTGCACATTGCTTTGTGTCTCGTGTCCGTACCATCTTTGCCAACACCCGCTGGCTTCATTCCTTCCAGAGTTTCTATAACATTATAGTAACGAATGTTATGGCTGATTTCTACAGTACGCATTTGTTATAACTCAAGCCTAGTTCACATTCGACGGGGCGCGACGGGACGCGACGTAAGGATCGACGGGAAGCGACGGCACGGTCTGACGGCGTCCAATGTGAACACCAGGAACGGGAACGCAACCGTACTACCGTACTACAGATCGGGAAGCGACGGGAAGAGTTGGATCGATCCAACTTTTCATACCGTAGACGGGCGTAGACGGGGACGCAAGCGTACAAAACGGCTGCAATTCGAGTGTGAACAGGAGACGGCGTCGTGCGCCGACTACTCCCGATTCGTACTTGAAAATTTTTAGCATTTCAAACACTGCGCTTCCCATGATAATTCACAGAATAGCTAGCACGACTTGAGTTGAATTTTAGCAACATAAGATCAAGATCTCATGTCACTTATTGTATTTAGGGATAGTACAGAAGCGTGACAGACGAACTCCCGGGGCTATTATTTGAATGCCACAACTTTCAGGGCTAATTTTTTGATCTTCATGAAAAATTGGTATTGTGAACTTCATTCCGCTTCTTTCAAGGAGAAATAATTGAAAAGAAGTCCCAAAAAACGAGAAATTAGGTCCGAAAGTCACCCAGTCACGGACCGTGCCTTATGACTCGCGCCGTTCGACATTGAACGTCGCAACGACTGCTGCATGTCGTGTCGTACGAATCGTACAGGATTTTACTGCTCACCCCAGCCCTCCCGACAAGCCCTTACGCCCGGCCCGTACCGTCGGTGTTGCGTCGAATGTGAACTAGGCTTTACACTCATACCTCGGTTATCCGGACCCCGAAGTTACGGGCACTTCGGTCTACCGGGCACTATTTGGGCGAGTTTCAGGGGAAATATTACTACTCTTTTGTCACTTTTCGTAGAAATATTGACGTCATATGCCATATCGATGGCCTT